TAAATCGTCAAAAATAAATATTTCTAACAAGAATTTGAGGCAAAATTTTGTTTTGATACGTTGTACACACATTTGTGAGGTGGTTATGGCGTCAATAATATATTATTCTCGACGGATAGTCGCAAATATTATTTTTACTAATGCCAACAAAATTTCGTTAAAGCTACATTTTTACCGAGGACAACTATTTAGCGTAAAAAAGAAATATTATATTTACTAATGACATCGGGATAGATGTGGAAACAATAATTCTCGAGTGCAATAATACCCACCTTTTTACTGGCCTTTCATATTCACGAGTCCCAAAATCAGTGCAATTAAATCGAATAATTAATAAACCAAGGAAAGGGCACCGTTCACAGAATTCATTCTTCCACTATATGAAATCTAGCTAGCCATTAGAAATACAACTCAACATCGATCGAAATTATAATCTATCATACATCCCCAACATAATATGAACAAATCAGTCAAACTAAAAGGTGAAAGAGGCTAAAAAGAAAATCCAATAGGGGCCTTGAAGAACTCTAAACTCGACCGCTGAAGCTGTATAAGGTCATACCCCGCCTTTGCTACCTCTGTATCCTCTCGTCGCTGGTAAATCCTCTGGCATGTGAACCCCTCCTTTTCTACTCTATGGCGGCGTTCTCTCCAAAACACCAAAATAAACAAAAAAAAGTACAAAAATCAGAAACTTAAGTCAAACCAAAATCCTAAAAGGCGACATGCAACCTGGAAGGAAACTTATCTCTTCCTTTCATCACCACCGTCGTCATCAACTCCGACATGAGAAGGCAGATCGAGAACGAGAGGGGCATTTCGTTTCGATTTGGCGGATTCTGAATCGAAAAAGAAAGGGATGAGAAAGAGTGGTGGGAGAAGGAGGAATCCATAAAAAGAAGGGAATTCGTTTTTTGCCCTCTGTGCGTTCTTCCTTCAGAAGGAAGATGAGAGAGGGTAGACTAAAGGTGGCGGCTGGTTAGAATGGGAGATTAGGGTTTTTTTTGTGTATCAATCTATATTTATATGCATACTCTGAGAAGGGATGGAAAGGCGGGATTTTCTCGCTGGTGAAGGGGTTGCAGCGTTGAGTTACAAAAGGGGATTCTCAGTTTTATCCGCCAGTGATGGATGGTTTTTAGGGAAGGCGGATTTTGCCCGCCACAGAGATCTTGAGAAACGAAGCGGCAGAGAAGGGTATTAATTATTCTTCTTTTTTATATTTTTCTTTTAGTTAAATCAGCAATTGGGGAAGGCAGATTTTCCCGTTGGTGAGAATCAATGATGAAGGGTATTGAAACCCATTTTCTTTTCCTTAAAAAAAAAAAAAAGAAATCCTTTTACTTTTTTTTTTAAAGTTTCTAGTTACATAATTCGTTGGTTGTGTTTTTGGATGTTGTTTAGGGTAAAGTTTTCACAAGTTTGGTTCACGCTACCAATTAGTTAATTATATATACATTTCACTTGGAGTATAAGATTTGAATGGTTTAATTGATAAAGTTATCCTTAATTGTATAGGGGTCTTTCGATATCATCGTGTCGGTTATCAGTTTTAATCGTGAACTGAATTGATAACTATGGTTAATGGTTAAACGATAATTGTTAAATTAGGTTATTGGCTAAAGTTCAGGGTAAGGGTCTAGATTAATTTTTTACAGGGTTTAGGGTATTGGCTAAAGTTCAGGGTAAGGGTTTAGGGTTTTACAGGTTTAGGGTATTTGTAACACCCCGATACTTTAGATTTAGGTTCGACCTTAATACGTGATCGGTTGGATTGACGGTTACGTACTAAGGGTTACAACCGCGGATTAAGAATAATAATAATAATAATAATAATATTATTATTATTATAATAATAATAATATTATTATTATAATAATATTATTATTACATTAAAGAAAAGAAGTGGGGCGGGCCGAGGAGGTCGGCGCCTCCACGCCCCCACTCCCCCCAAATAAGAATTCCCCCACCCCCACCCCCAATATTATTTGCCAAGCCAAAACCCAGGAGGCGGAAAAATAAAAACCCTTCTCGGGTAATTCTGCAAGCAGCCGCCGCTGCGAGGAAAAGAAGGGAAGCGTCGGCTCTCCATCCCGATCCTGATCCCATCCCTTTAGTTCTAGCGGTGACGTTTGAGGGTTCGATCAACAAAGAGATCAACGTCCCGGGTCATCCAACCTAGTCCTAGGCACGTTCTAGAGGTAAGAGAACTCGATCACTTTGAGTTAGGGCGATTGATTTGGTGATTTTTCGTGAGGGTACAATTCTAGGTTTTTAGCAACAGGCGTTACAGGCTTTTAGTGACATATTTTGATTGGTCACTAAAGCTGCTGGGAATTTCCAGAAACGTATTTTTAGAAGTTTTAAATTTTTTTGAGCCTCTCTGAAGTTTTTTTTTCTGGATCTAACAATTTTATAAATTTAGAGACGTCTAGGAGATAATTGTAATTTAATTTGGGAATTTTCGAAGATGTATTTCTATTTTTAGAAATTATTCAAACATTTGTTTTGAATAAAAAAAAATATTTCCGAGGATTTTATAAGGGTTTGATAATTTACCAGGGTATAAGTACTCATGATTGATGTAGGAAAATTATTATCCGAATTTTTAAGAAGGTTCAAGTTAGGTGGAAAATTCGTCCAAGATAAAAATAATTAAGAAAAATAGTCGGTTTTGAAGGGTGTATTTTTAGGAAATTTTAAAGGGGTTAAGGGACCTTTGGAGTGAGGTTTGAGGATGGGACTTGAGTAGATGGTGTTTGGGTAGATAAAAAGGAGGCTTTTAAATTGAGAAAGGTTGTCTTAGAGTATGGATTTCTTATTAATAGGTATCCTGGGATAATCCGGCTAAGGAGGGAAAGAGGGCGAGAAAGTTAGCAGCCGATCGAACTTCGTAGTCTCACTTGATGAAAAGGTTCACACCGATTAGTATGAAGGGAAGAGTCGCGTCTATTAGAGGCGGAAGGAAGGCCGAGAATGAAACACCCTAACCCGGCCGGGTACTACTTTTACGAAAATGCCCTTGATAAATAAAATACTCAAATCTTAAAATTTCAACTGGGAAAATTTTTCACAACTAACATACTGAAAACACACACTTGTAGTTCAAAGCAAAGCCCTAACATGTAGGCAAATTAAACTCAAAATTTAAAAACTCAACTTGATCTCCAGTCTATACTCATAATCATAAAACATAATAACTAACTAGTCTAAGGTGTTGCTGCTTGTGTGAGAAACTCTGACTAGACATCCTCTGTGACGCCCGTACCGTCCTCCTCTAGCTAGCTTCACTCGAACTGTTTCTCTCGATCCCGCTACTCTCTAACTGCTCCTCTAGCTTCTTCCTCTTCAAACTGGTGAGTGAGTTGGGGTCAGTCTACGCCCTTACGTTTTAAAATCTTATTAATACTTGATCACTTACTTAACTGAGTGGAAGTTGTTTTCTACTTCCACTATTAAAAAGCTTAACTCTTAAAACTGTATGGGAGTTACTGTTACTCCACTCTTATATCTCAAAGCTTGACTTAAAATACTTGACTAACACTGGGATCCCTCACTAGCTAGTCCGGTTGCCAACTCATACGTATGAGAAGCCATCCAGGCTTTCCTTAAACTTAAACTTAGTTAGGGAAGTCGTAACGATTCATCCCCCTAACATCTTAAACTTATCGTGGTGGCTCTTCACCAGGATTCTCAAGAGCATAACTGCTGCTCATCTTAAAAGTCTCAAGAGCATAACTGCTGCTTTGTCTCAAAGATCTCAAGAGCAAAACTGCTGCTCTATCTCAAACTGTCTCAAAGGCAACGGACTGGCGCTAGTGACTAAAAACACTTAAAACGACTTCACCTTCTTGAAGGTGAGTTACTTCTTAAAAAAGGACTTGCTTCTTAACTTCAACAATAACTTATAAATTTAAAGCTTAAATTTAAATAAAACTCATGCACAGTCACATCAAGCATGGCTCAACAAAATCACATATCATCAACCATAAGCACAATCAAACAATAACAATCACTTCATCAAATACTTAAAGCTCGTCAAACTTGAAAGAATACGAAAGGCGTAGAATTTACCCCCTTTACACTCACCTCTAATCCGTCGAAACTAACTCTGAATCTGCTCCAAAATTTCCATACTTACTCCAATTAAATTCTCCTCGTCCTCACGATTCCATGGGCGCTGATGATTCCTTGTTCGGACGTCAATTGATCGAGTTATGACCAAAATAAATATTCTATCAGCTTAAAAGTTCCAGGTACCGATATTGCAATTTTTCCAGTCAACATAGTTGACTCGGACTTCTGAGGAAAATTACGATTGTGGTCCTTAAACTTTTCAAATTGTCACAAACAGTACCTTAATTTGTCCGACTTTCACCCCAACCTTTCGATGCTCGTTTCTCCCTCGTCCGATGTCGAAACTCAATTCCGTCAAGACTGTGATGCTCCTGGGATCGTCCTCTTCGCGATGATAACCACCACTCAAAGAAAATTAGAAGTCGCCTACGCCGGGATCGTTGTCAGAACTGCTTGTCTTCTCCCACCATCAATGCCAATTTTAAAACCATTGCGACCAAAAACTGTGTCTCCCTTTCCATGACGACTTGTATCCTGGTTGGTGATTATATCCTTCTCATAGCGGCGGCGCCATTTCCCGGTGACCATGGGCGCTTCTGGATCGAACCGACTGCTGGCTCTGGCCCTACAACTCCACCTCTACAAGCATATTCGACTGCTTTTCTAGTGCCATTTGATGCTGCTACCCTAGCTCTTTCGATGCATTCATCATATTCTCCCCATCTAAATACCTTCACCCTTTTGGATGTTTCAAGATTATACCAATCCACACTAGCATCATCTCGGCCAAGAAGCTTGACCGGAGTGCCCGATCTTGGCGAAACAAAATTCCCTCCGCAATCTCGTCCATACTCATAATCCGACCAGGCCACCACGACCCGTTCCTCCTGCGAACCCAAACTAAACTGCTCACCGACGCATCAATGGCTTTTGCGTTGCTGTTATGGAGTTCATCGGAGGCAGCGGGCACCATTATTGAGACGGCGAGAGAACGAGGACAAGATTGCGGCGGAACCTTGCTTCACCGCTTCCATCGCGTACTCCACCTGGAACAGCAGACTGAGCCTTGTTCACGCAAGCGAGGACCACGTGGGTCTTGGATCGGAGCCCAATTGCGGCGGCGGGAGACAACCCTCCTGATTAAGTCCCTGCTTGCGGTGGAAAGTTGCTTCCGGTTGAAAGTGAAGGCTGACAATTGCTACCGGGGTGAGGCCGAGTGGGGTAGAGTAAATGTCTAGGGTTTAATTAGTTGGAGGGTATTTTGGGAATCTCGCAATTACGTATGAGTTTAGTTCGATAACGTCCGTAACTTTCTCGTTTTCTGTTGAAACCCAACACCGTTATAATCGAGAATTAGCATTTTTTTGTTCTCGTCGATTTTACGGTGGAATTTGACAAATTCTCCCAAGGGTATAATAGTCATTTTTACTTTTGGGAAGAGCGGGGTGTAACATTTCCTCCACCCTTATAAAAAATTTGTCCCTGAAATTTCATCGAGCTCATCCTTCCATACTCCTCATTATCGTGCTTCTTTGGCTCAAGATTTCACTCTTGCTGTATGAACTTCAATGGCGTGTCCTTACCTTGTCTTGAATAGCTTACTATAGTTCTTACATGTACTCTTGACCATAACAGGTATTCTCATCTAGCTTGGTAGCATCGAATAGGTTTGAGTGACTCATTGCTCCTTTCAAAATTTTCCAACTTGGGTTGGTAGCATCGAGCGATGACAACCAGGAGGTGGGCTTGGAAGCAGCCATCCTTTGAAGAAAGCGTAATAGCCTCAGAGCTATGATCGAGTAGAATAGGAGTTCGTCATATGGTCAGTATGGGAAGGGGTTTGGAGCGATTTCGATTCTGCTTGATACGTCTACTCAACTCATTCAATACTTGTTGTTAAATCTAAATCGAAGTCAAGGTATCACATTTCCTCCCCACTTATAGAAATTTCGCCCTCGAAATTTGTCCATTGTAATTACTCCAAGCCTAACTTGTGTAATCCTCGAAAAAAAAAATTTCCACAAGGATTCTTACTTCCTTTAACTTGTACGACATGACCTATAAATCCTTCTTGTCAGATCGTAAAACTCTTTTAGCATAAACCTCGTCTGTGGTTGACCCCGTAGGTTATCTAGGTCCTTGTACCTTCTAACTTTGCATCTCTTCCTTCCTTCCTTGATACTTCTTCAAATCATTTAACCCTAAACTGAATGGTCATCTCATCGTTACATCTTGCTTAACACCAAAACCTCGTACTGCTACTTTTATTTTCGTTATGCATTAGAGGCATCCTTTGCATCTTTCTCTAGCTTGCTAACAACTGTATGACTCCCTTCAAGAGTCATGAACTTAGCTTTGGCTTACTTGTTCACTCCTGGAACCTAACTTAGCACTTCCTTATCGCCACCTGAATTTGAGGTTCTCGAACTATCCATTCTGCTACCCTTAGACCCTAGTTGAAATTCCTCGTACGCTTTCCCCATCCATAGAGTCTTACCTGAGAGATTGACACCTTTCACCAGCATAGGCGATCTTGGTTTCACTTTGTGGTATTCTAGCAGGTTCTCTAAACTTATAGCCCTCTTACTTCGTTACTCGTGACTCTTCTTCTTGATGTTCCTTTCTCGGTTTATGTGTCCCTTGTTCTCGATGTAGTCCTCTAGGTCCCTATTTTCTCTTCTCACTCATGTACCATGACAGATATCGACTATTCCTGACGATCATGATTTCACCTTAAAAATTGACTGAAACATCCCTATGGACTTCCTATGGATCGGTTGTTCTCTACTTGGTGGTCCACCTAATGCTTTTTTGTTGTCTGTTGTACTCCCGCGTCCGCCCGTCTTACTATCTTCCTTGATGCATACATCGCCGGGTTGATGCCAACCATTTTATTTTTCTATAACTTCCCATGGTGTTCTTCTTGCTTCTTTACTTTTACTACCACCAAACTACAACTCTTCTGTCGTTGCTTGTACTATATTTGGTCACCAACCTCTGTTGAGTATCTTCTCGTTGTTGTGTTAGGTTACAACTTCCAATGGTGGCTTGCCCTTGGTAACCTTTAACATAACTCATTCCATGTCTCTTTTGTTGATCGATCTTGTACATAAACTTAGTCTCTTATTTAGGATTCTTAGTGGCTTAACTAAGCGTGCCTGTTTCATCCTTAACTAGTTGTCTCCTCTGGAGCCCTCCTACTATGTCGCGCCCACTCAGAGTGGGGCACCTTGGATAAGGTAACTTCTCTTTTTCCTCCTTCTCGGTAATGCTTTCCCTCATCGTACCTCTTTGTGCAACTTCTTGACCCCGAGTCACCTGAGACTTGACCCATTGACTTCTTGAAATCTCGTCAAACTCCCTCTGGCCTTTTTGCTCTTCCTTGGTATTGTTCGCAAACTCTCTTCATTACAACCGTTTAGACTCTTTCTCGAATTCTCCAACTTTCATTAGAACTTCTAATGAACGTTGTACTTGCTTGTCTATACCCGGTTGATTGAATGATTTACTCCTACGGATGGTTCCGATACTTCCGCTCTTGGCCCTCTAGTTCCCACTTTAGACTTTCCCAGTGGATTCCTTGAAATTCCGCGATTTTCTGATTCTCCTTGATCATGGTAATTTGCAGGGTCTCTCAACCCCTTCTCATAACTTGTCCTCTAGCTTGCGCTTGACAGGTGTATAGCATGCCTGATCTAACCTCGACCTCTACATCATTTATCTCATTGCTTATCTTGTTCCTTCTAAAGGCTTGTCATCGGCCTAACTCCCCAGGGTCGTGTACCCTCCTTTCTAGTGACATAGTTTATCAATAAGGGTCCTTTATCGTTATATGTAAACGACCATGCCTCCTCTCCTTCTTGACCTATTGACTTCTTGACGTCCTTTCAGACCCCCTCGAACCTACTTACTTCCTCCTTTACTTCATTTATACTCCACTAGCTTCTCTTGAAGTCTAAGCTTTCCACTGCTCCTTGCCACAGTGTTGTAATGGCATTGACCACTAAAACTAGTTGAGAAACTTCTCGTGGTACCTCTTTGTTTCTTGACTCACCACTGCCTAGGGTCAAGGACCCTGAAATTCTCCCATCATTATAGCTACTGACATCTAGTGATTGTAGCTTTTTCTTTGGAGATTCATAGTTCTCCTATTTGTTTGCTTTTGCTTATTAGATCCTCTCCTTGCTGCCTAGTAGTAGAATCCTCGTACTACTCTCTCAACTCCTTCAAAATCCTTGAGGTATTCCCTTTCAATTGGCACCTCTTTGCTGGTGTTTGGAGTTGAAGTCCTCGCACATTTGATTCTACCTCCACAGACCTTTGCAACGTTCCTTCTTCCTTCTCTAGGTTGATGATGATGATGATCTGTTTGCTAACGTCAGAGTAGTTGGTTAACTAATTGAAATAACTACTATCCATCATGTTGATGAGATACTTGGCCTTGAGAGCCTTTGAGATTCTACTTGGGTTGGTCACGTTTCTTTCATCCTTTCTTTCTTACTGATGATCGCCATACGCCTCAATCTCTTATTTGACGTCCCACGACGTGTTAACTTAACTCGCGTCCTAGCTTATTCTTAAACCAATTGCACCTCGGGCTACCATCCCTTCGTGCCGTGCTGTCATAGTTATTTACCTTAATATGATTAGAGTAGACTGGAGATTCTATAAACACATAAAAGAAGATCTTTGACTCGTTTTCCTTTCCTTTAAAACAAGACCTTTAAAACTGAGACCGACATTCCAGTATTCCTTGGAAACCAAGGAACAGAGGAAGACCGGCTCTGATACCAAAATGAAACACCCTAACCCGGCCGGGTACTACTTTTACTAAAATGCCCTTGATAAATAAAATACTCAACTCTTAAAATTTCAACTGGGAAAAATTTTCACAAATAACATACTTAAAACACACACTTGTAGTTCAAAGCAAAGCCCTAACATGTGGGCAAATTAAACTCAAACTTTAAAAAATCAACTTGATCTCCAGTCTATACTCATAATCATAAAACATAATAACTAACTAGTCTAAGGTGTTGCTGCTTGTGTGAGAAACTCTGACTAGACATCCTCTATGACGCCCATACCGTCCTCCTCTAGCTAACTTCACTCGAACTGTTTCTCTCGATCCCGCTACTCTCTAACTGCTCCTCTAGCTTCTTCCTCTTCAAACTGGTGAGTGAATTGGGGTCAGTCTACGCCCTTACGTTTTAACATCTTATTAATACTTGATCACTTACTTAACTGAGTGGAAGTTGTTTTCTACTTCCACTATTAAAAAGCTTAACTCTTAAAACTGTATGGGAGTTACTGTTACTCCACTCCATGGTTGTCACGCCGTCCGGCGTGCCACTGGTTGAACCTGGTTCAACCTGTACCGGTCATAAAACCGGAATGACACCACCGGTATAACCGGCAAGATCGATATCCGAATCTCTAAGTAAAATTATCTTATATTAGTGAACTTATTTGATAAAAAGTAATTTATTATTTATTTTATGTGTTAAAAAGTTAAATGTTGATGTTATTTGTTGGATTCAAGTACAAATATTTAGGTATTGACGTTAAATGTCGTGCTTAAATATGGGTATTTGTAAATTATTTGTAATATTAACCGGCATGAACCGGCACAAACCGGTATGTACCACCGGTCGAACCATTCCACTAGCTAAACCGGCACACCGGCACAAACCGGTTTGACAACCTTGCTCCACTCTTATATCTCAAAGCTTGACTTAAAATACTTGAATGACACTGGGATCCCTCACTAGCTAGTCCGGTTGCCAACTCATACATATGAGAAGCCATCCAGGCTTTCCTTAAACTTAAACTTAGTTAGGGAAGTCGTAACGATTCATCCCCCCTAACATCTTAAACTTATCGTGGTGGCTCTTCACCACGATTCTCAAGAGCATAATTGCTGCTCATCTTAAAAGTCTCAAGAGCATAATTGCTGCTCTGTCTCAAAGATCTCAAGAGCAAAACTGCTGCTCTATCTCAAACTGTCTCAAAGGCAACGGACTGGCGCTAGTGACTAAAAACACTTAAAACGACTTCACCTTCTTGAAGGTGAATTATTTCTTAAAAAAGGACTTGCTTCTTAACTTCAACAACAACTTATAAACTTAAAGCTTAAATTTAAATAAAACTCATGCACAGTCACATCAAGCATGGCTCAACAAAATCACATAACATCAACTATAAGCACAATCAAACAATAACAATCACTTCATCAAATACTTAAAGCTCGTCAAACTTGAAAGAATACGTAAGGCGTAGAATTTACCCCCTTTACACTCACCTCTAATCCGTCGAAACTAACTCTGAATCTGCTCCAAAATTTCCATACTTGCTCCAATTAAATTCTCCTCGTTCTCACGATTCCATAGGCGCCGACGATTCCTTGTTCGGACGTCAATTGATCGAGTTATGACCAAAATAAATATTCTATCAGCTCAAAAGTTCCAGGTACCGAAATTGCAATTTTTCCAATCAAGATAGTTGACTCGGACTTCTGAGGAAAATTACGATTGTGGTCCCTAAACTTTTCGAATTGTCACAAACAGTACCTTAATTTGTCCGACTTTCACTCCAACCTTTCGATGCTCGTTTCTCCCTCGTCCGATGTCGAAACTCAATTCCGTCAAGACCATGATGCTCCTGGGATCGTCTTCTTCGCGATGATAACAACCACTCAAAGAAAATTGGAAGTAGCCTACGTCGGGATCGTTGTCAGAACTGATTGTCTTCTCCCACCATCACTGCCAATTTTGAAACCATTGCGACCAAAAATTGTGTCTCCCTTTCCATGATGACTTTTATCCTGGTTGATGATTATATCCTTCTCATAGCGGAGGCGCCATTTGCCGGTGACCATGGGCGCTTCCGGATCGAACCGACTGCTGGCTCTGGCCCAACAGCTCCGCCTCTACAAGCATATTTGACTGCTTTTCTAATGCCATTTGCTGCTGCTACCCTAGCTCTTTCGATGCATTCATTATATTCTCCCCATCTAAATACCTTCACCCTTTTGGATTTTTCAAGATTATACCAATCCACACTCGCATCATCTCGGCCAAGAAGCTTGACTGGAGTGCCCGATCTTGGCGAAACCAAATTACCCTCCGCAATCTCGTCCATACTCATAATCCGACCAGGCCACCACGACCAGTTCCTCCTGCGAACCCAAACTAAACCGCCCACCGACGCATCAATGGCTTTTGTGTTTCTGTTGTGGAGTTCATCGGAGGCAGTGGGCACCATCATTGAGACGGCGGGAGAACGAGGACAAGATTGCGGCGGAACCTTGCTTCACCGCTTCCATCGCGTACTCCACCTGGAACAGCAGACTGAGCCTTGTTAACGTAAGCGAGGACCACGTGGGTCTTGGATCGGAGCCCAATTGCGGCGGTGGGAGACAACCCTCCTGATGGGCGGCGGCGGGAGACAACCCTTCTGATTAAGTCCCTGCTTGCGGTGGAAAGTTGCTTACGGTGGAAAGTGAAGGCTGCCAATTGCTACCCGGGTGAGGCCGAGTGGGGTAGAGTAAATGTCTAGGGTTTAATTAGTTGGAGGGTATTTTGGGAATCTCGCAATTACGTATGAGTTTTGTTCGATAACGTCCGTAACTTTCTTGTTTTATGTCGAAACCCAACACCGTTATAATCGAGAATTAGCATTTTTTTTGTTCTCATCGATTTTACGGTGGAATTTGACAAATTCTCACAAGGTATAATAGTCATTTTGACTTTTGGGAAGAGCGGGGTGTAACAGAGAACTCGACATCGGTGATCGCAACTGGCGGGGGTAAAGTTATGGAGGGGCCCCGACCCTATCCTCCCAGACGACCCGGGGTGTCGGCAGTTCATAGTTGGCCGCTGAATTGTGGCCCGAGGAGGGACCTTGAAGAGAATGGCGGCGGAGCTCCAATGGTTAGGGTCGTTGAAGAGGAAGACGATGACCCAATAGAGGAGGAGCCAAAAGAGGAAAAAAGCGCGGGGATTGAGCGTGAGAATGCAGATGTGGATGCGACTAAAGATGTGAGTGTAAAGGGGGTAAAATTTCTGTCGTAGGTCTTTTAGTTTCTGCTTTTCGTTCAAGCTATTTAATTAGTTATTTTTTTAGTAATCCCACGTAACGCAGTAGTTGAAGGGCATGGACTGGACAACGAGACGTAACGCAGTGCCATTGCAGAGTTTGGGTATGCAACCGGACAGCGAGACGTAACGCGGTTGGCATACCAGGGTCGGACACCGGACGGCGAGACGTAACGCGGTGGTCCTAGTGTTTTGTGTTTGAGTTAAGGATAAAAGTTGAGAACCTCAATGAGTTAAAGTTGAAAGGAGTTATTAAGAACCTAAGTAAGGGCATTCTAAAGATAAGACAGGGGTAGGGATCTCTTATAGACTGTTTGATAGTAAAGTTTAAAGGATGAAAGTGAGAACGACTTTCGTCTAAGGAAGGCATTCCCCTAATAATGTGTTTAGTAATGAATTGCCTAGGGAAAAGACCTTAGGAAGTAACGACGAGACTGACCCCTTCTCACTCACCAGGTCGAGGAAGGGTTAGGAGAGGCGGACTGCAAGAAGAGGCAAGGCGATGTGAGCAGCTGCACCAGCATTGATGAGAAGTCAGGGAACTCGTGAAGAGTCAGAGCTAGAATAGTTTAATTTCTTTGTTACATGGTTAGAAGTGTAAACTGGAGATCCTGAGTTCTTTCATTTTAATTATTGGGATTGTCATTTGCCAAGTGTTCAGTCTTTTTGTTTAAAATTCTTAAACATTGTCGGTTTATTTATTTTAAAAAGTTGTTTGGGTTGCTCCGGAGTAACCGGTTTGTGGTTTGAGTTGTGGTTTTGTTTTCTGAAAAGATCGGGTCGGGTCATTTTGGTATCAGAGCCGGCACTCCTCTGTTCCTTGACCTCCAAGGAATACTGGAGTGACGATCTGCGTTTTCAAGGTTTCATTTTTAAAGGAAAGGAAAAAGGATGTTAGGTTTATTGTTTGGCCAAACGAGTCAAGGATCTTTTAAGGATTTTTAGAATCTCCATTATACTCTAATCATGATTAGGAAATAACTCTAAGAGACACTGCGAGGTTTTGACACGTCTCGGAAAGGAGAAACAGCAGTTCCTTAGAGGATCGTTTGGTGAATACCATTCCATTAGTGAGAAGAGAAGGGTCAAGGTAGCTCACAGGGATGTGAGCTAATCGGAATAAGGTTCATGAAGGAGCCAAGTATTGGCACCTCAACAGGAAGTAGTCAAGGAGTTACGGCGGATGGCGGCCGTAATCTAGAGGAAAGGATGCAAGGAAGGTCCATGGAGTTCGCGAGGATTGGATTTACGGCTACAATCCCAAGGAGCATCGACGGACCAAGGTAGGTTAAGAGTTAGAATTTCGAAACTCGCCCAAGGAGAGCCATTAAGCCAGCGGAGGATGGACGAGAAAGTAGGATGTTCAAGGGAAGTTCTAATAAAGGTAAGAGAAGGCAAGCAGAACCCTCGAGGAGAAGTTTTAATGAACTCGATAAGGAGGACTTACGTAACATACCAAGAGAGAGTGAGAAGGTAAGAGAATGTTCGAGGTGATTCTAAGGAGAGTGCCACAGTGTCATAGTCGCTTTGAGCAAGCAGCTAGCTGAGTAAGTGGTTTAGGATAAATGGATGAGCTATCGACTACCAAAAAACCGCATAAATTGGGTGGAAGAGTTCATAGCTTCAGGTCCTACAAGTTAAAGGAAGTATAAGTCCTTGTAGCGGAAAGATTTCCTCAAGTGAGACTTTAAGTTATCATCGACGAACAAATTTCGAGGTCAAAATTTTTCTTAAGGAGGGGGGAAATGTGATGTCTCGATTTTGGATTTAGGTGCAACATCAACTACCAAGAGAATTGGATCAACATGACAAGCAGAATTGGCATTTTGTTTCACCATGTTTGGATCAAGCTGGGGAGTAAAAAGGGGGCAGTGAGACACTTATGGTTACACGAGTGCTGCAAGCTAAGGAAACTTATTTGAGCAAAAGGTACCAACGAAGTTGTTATAGTAAGAATAGATGATCGTGGGAAGGAAGTATAAGAAAGGTGTTGATAGAAGGAGGAGTTCCGAGCAAATTTCGGGGACGAAATTTTTTTGTAAAGGTGGAGGAAATGTAACACCCCGATACTTTAGATTTAGGTTCGACCTTAATACGTGATCGGTTGGATTGACGGTTACAACCGCGGATTAAGAATAATAATAATAATAATAATATTATTATTATTAAATTATTATTATTACATTAAAAAAATAAGAAGTTGGGGCGGGCCGAGGAGGTCGGCGCCCCCACGTCCCACTCCCCCCAAATAAGAAATCCCCCCCCCCCATATTAATTGCCGAGCCAAAACCCAGGAGGCGGAAAAAATAAAAACCCTCCTCGGGTAACTCTGGAAGCAGCTGCCGCTGCGAGAAAAAGAAGAAAAGAAGGGAAGCGCCGGCTCTCCATCCCGATCCCATCCCTTTCGTTCTAGAGGTGACGTTTGAGGGTTCGATCAACGAGGAGATCAACGTCCTGGGTCATCCAACCTGGTCCTAGGCACGTTTTAGAGGTAAGAGAACTCGATCCCTTTGAGTTAGGTTGATTGATTTGGTGATATTTCATGAGGTTACAATTCTGGGGTTTTAGCAACAGGCGTTACAGGCTTTTAGTGACAGATTTTGATTGGTCATTAAAGCTGCTGGGAATTTCCAGAAACGTATTTTTAGACGTACTAAATTTTTTTGAGCCTCTCTGAAGGTTTTTTTCTAGATCTAACAATTTTATAAATTGAGAGACGTCTAGGAGATGATTGTAATTTAATTTGGAAATTTTTGAACATGTATTTCTATTTTTATAAATTGTTCTAACATTCATTTTAATCAAATAACTATATTTCCGAGGAGTTTATAAGGGTTTGATAATTTTCCAGGGTATAAGTACTCATGATTGATGTAGGAAAATTATTATCCAAATTTATAAGAAGGTTCAAGTTAGGTGGAAAATTCGTCCAAAATAAAAATAATTAAGAAAAATAGTCGGTTTTGAAGGGAGTATTTCTAGAAAATTTTAAAGGGAGTTAAGGGACCTTTGGAGTGAGGTTTGAGGATGGGACTTTGAGTAGAGGGTGTTTGGGTAGATAAAAAGGAGGCTTTTAAATCGAGAAAGGTTGGCTTAGAGTATGAATTTCTTATTAATAGGTTTCCTGGGATAATCCGGCTAAGGAGGGAAAGAGGGCGAGAAAGTTAGCAGCCGATCGAACTTCGTAGTCTCGCGTGATGAAGAGGTTTACACCGATTAGTAGGAGGGGAAGAGCCACGTCTATTAGAGGCGGATGGAAGGCCGAGAACTCGACATCGGTGATCGCAACTGGCGGGGGTAAAGTGATGGAGGGGCCCCGACCCTATCCTCCCATACGACCCGGGGTGTCGGCAGTTCGTAGTTGGCCGTTAAATTGTGGCCTGAGGAGGGACCTTGAAGAGAATGGTTGCGGAGCTCCAATGGTTAGGGTCGTTGAAGAGGAAGACGATGACCCGATAGAGGAGGAGCCAAAAGAGGAAAAACGCGCGGGTCTTGAGCGTGAGAATGCAGACGTTGATGTGACTAAAGAGGTGAGTGTAAAGGGGGTAAAATCTCTATCGTAGGTCTTTTAGTTTCTGCTTTTCGTTCAAGCTATTTAATTAGTTAATTTTTTTAGTAATGCGCGATATGTGTGTGAGGCATCCCACCGCCTGTAAGAGTGGAGGCACGCGTTGTGCTATGTATGAATGTATGTATGTTTGTATGGTTGATGGGATGAGGAACCCCCGGGCGGTTGGGTCACTACTAGACGGCGAGACGTAACGCAGTAGTTGACGGGTATGGACTGGACGGCGAGACGTAACGCAGTGCCATTGCAGAGTTTGGGTATGCAACCGGACGGCGAGACGTAACGCGGTGTTCCTAGTGTTTTGTGTTTGAGTTAAGGATAAAAGTTGAGAACCTCTATGAGTTAAAGTTAAAAGAAGTTATTAAGAACCTAAGTAAGGGCATTCTAAAGATAAGACAGGGGTAGGGATCTCTTATAGACTGTTTGATAGTAAAGTTTAAAGGATGAAAGTGAGAACGACTTTCGTCTAAGGAAGGCATTCCCCTAATAATGTGTTTAGTAAGGAATTGCCTAGGGCAAAGACCTTAGGAAGTAACGACGAGACTGACCCCTTCTCACTCACTAGGTCGAGGAAGGGTTAGCAGAGGCGGACTGCAAGA